GTGCTATGTAAGTGTCTAGACTGTTTTATGTACACTATGAGCACTTCCTCCGTTATTCCAGTTTCACATGTTCTTCTCTCTGACCGGCAACTCCTGTATTTCCAGCCATCTCTCTCTAGTGATTTTATGGCCTGCAGAACTTTGATGCTGCTGGGATGTCAAATTCACTGACCATGCCACCTTTTCATTGTCATCAATCCCGCATGTCTTCTTGTTGATTTTTCCTGGCTTAGATCATTTACCAGAGTGAACTAGAATAATTATTTCCTTACATACAGCTACAATTTCCTTGCTTATCTCCTCATTCATCATAAGTGACTGGAAAATGCAGCCTGGTTAAATCCAGCTCTACCTGCTCCACACTTGCATAAAGTAGCTGATGTGACCACATTAACTGGATTATAACTTCCCAGCACTCTTGCTAATCAATTACTAATCAATAAATAATCAATTTATTCTGTTAATCTTTTAAAAGATTGTCCCCAACTTCTCTTCCTTTCTCAGTTGTCAAATTTCCTGTCTCTTTCCTCAAACTCAACTGATGACCTGGCTTCCTATTATCTTGAGAAAATAAAAACAATCAGAAGTGTGTTTCCTCTGTTTCACTGACAAAATATACAAAAACATCTGCATCTGTATGTAAGGCAGTATCTCAACAGTGCTGAAGCTGGACCGCCTCTTATCCATGATCAGTCTCCGTCTGTACATTGAAATTCGTTCTGTCTAATGTTTTTTTAATCTCTATTGATTTACTCACCTTTACCTACAAGTACTTACTCACCTTGACCTACAAGTATGATCTAATATCTCCCATTTTAAAAACAAGCAAAAAATATTTCTTGTTTACCACACCCTCCTACAACCACTATCACCACATTTCTCTCATTCTCTTAAAAACACAGGGTTTAAGAAGCTGTCTATGTCTGCTTTCTCTTGCTACTTGTCCTGAGCCCACTCTAACCAAACATTTTCCCCCACTATGTCTACAAAAACCCTCCTGTCAAAGTCACTGTTAACCTTCACATTAACACGTCCAATGACTTCCTCAGGAGTCACTTCACTCAACCTACAAGCAGCATCTGACAGTGCTCACTAGCCCTTTTCTTAAAATACTTTCTTCTCCAAAATGCTTTGCTCCCAGGGCACCGTTCTCTTGGTTTTCCTTTTATTTCACTGCTCAACCATCATATTTCCTGATTCCTCTTCATTTAACTTCAAAATGTTGCTGTGTCCCAGGTTCAGTTCATGTCCCTCTTTCTTCTGCTGCACTCATCCCTGGACAAGCGCTTCTATGTTCACAGCCTGAAGTGACAGCCATGCTCTGACGGCATCCACGTTTCCTTCTCCATGGCAGTGCTGATCTCCAG